CAGACCACGTCTGGGACAAGGCTGGTGGCCCCTGGAGGAAGTGATGTTTCAGCAGAGACCTGCAAGGGAGGCAGGGAGTAGCTGGGTGGGCGATCTAGCAACTGCGGGGAGCCTGGGGAGGGGGAGGAGCCGACAGGTGTTCCTTCTGGAAGGTGAGAGTTGAGATAAGGCACCCATTTGCCTGAGGGCAGCAAGAGGCCCCCAAAGGGGAGGTTTGGGCGGGAGAGAGACATGGTTCCATGTGTATATGTGAACAGTTCACCCTGCAGAATGGGCTGGAAGGGAGCAGAGAGGAGGATGCTGGGAGATGGTTCCCACCCCCTTCCCCTGGGACTGGGGGTAGGGAGCGGAGAGCAGGGAAGTTCAAACTGGCCCCAACCCTGGATTTTCTTTCTCTTTCTGTTTCAGACATGTCTTTTGACAACTCCCTGTTTGCCATCTCGGTAAGTGGTTCCTTTTCCTGGAACCGGTTTCCTACTGACTGTCCTAACTGCGGGAAGGAGGGCCCGCCACCAGGCTGGGTCAGTGTGCTGTCGCTGAGCTTGGGGGGCTAGGAAGAAGGCCAGAATCACTCAGCAGGGACTCCTTAGTGAGCCCAGAGTTGGCTCTGAAAAGCGCCCGGGGGCAGAGGATTGGAGGCGGCAACAGGCGGCCTCCCGGGGCTGCTTGCTGTCCTGGTCAGCACTGCCTTTGCGCCCAGGCAGGCCAACCCCTCCGAATGGTGACAGAGGATTCAGAGTGACCTGGTGGCCTCTTTGAGCTTGTTCATGGAGCCTCGTGACAATCTGCTGCATGCTGTGGTCCCGTCCTGGTACAAAGCAAAGTCTAGTTTTGTGTTCCGTCTCAAGGACTTCACTTAACTGTCCCACTGTGTTTCCATCTTGGGGTCTTAACGAACCTTCCCCCTTTTCGAGGGGTATTGTCCCCCAACGTCACACAGTGTCGAGGCAATTAAGCAATTGAGATGGGAGCCATGGAGGGTTCTGAGCGGAGGAGGGAGGCCACCCGATTCAGGTGCTCACGGGCGCCCTCTGGTGGCCTCTGCGGGGAGGACAGACGGGGGCCAAAGTGGCGGCTCCTCTGCGGGGCCGGGCGTGCGCCCCGGGGGTGGGTGGTTTGGTCCAGCGTGTTGTCAGGTCAGGGTAGATTCAGGGAATGGGAAACGCAGCACTATTTTGGGATCAATGAACGGGCCAAGGAGGAAGAGGGAGGGTCGGGGGCGGGGGGCGGGGGCGGGGACAGGCTTGGAGGGACAAGAACGCAGAGACTGCCACCGCAGCTGGTGGTGCCCGAGAGCAGATGGGGACATGGGTCTGGAGTTCCGGAGAGAGGTCAGTTCGGGAGATGAAGACTCAGAGCCACTGGGCTACAGATGGTGGGAAGGAAGGGGGCTTGGCACGCGCCGGTCAGACCTCAAATCCTGAGCGTGTAAGGACAACCCAGCGGGCAGGGCAAATTCTAAAACTTTCCATCGGCATCCGCACCGCTCAGGATACCAACCTGGTGATCACCCCCTCTGCTCCCCTTTTAAAGCATTTTATTTGTTTGTTGTTTTACTTTTTTTTTTCTTAAATTAGACATGGGGTCTCACTGGATTGCCCAGGCTGGACTCGAACCGCTGGGCTCAAGCGATCCCCCTGCCTCTGCCTTCCAAAGTGCTGAGATTACAGGCATGAGCCACCTCGCTGGGGCTCTAGTTTATTTTATTGTGGTAAAATACACATAACATAAAAATTTACTATCTTAACCATTTTTTCTTATTCCTGAGCACAGTGGACGTCCCCATCTTAAGCATTTTAAGTGTACAGTTCAGCGTCATTAAATATATTCATGTCGTTGTACAACCATCAGCACCATCCATTTCCAGAATTTTTCATCTTCCCAAAATAGAACTCTGTACTCATTAAACACTAACTCTTCCTTCCTCCTTCCCCCAGCCCCTGGGAACTCTCATTCTGCTTTCCGTGTCTGTGGATTTGCCTGTTCTGGACATTTCATATAAATGGAGTCACGCAACATTTGTCCTTGTGAGACTGGCCCTATTTCACTTAGCATAAAATATTTTCCTTTTTTTTTTCTTTTTCTTTTTTCGATTTTATAGATTGTTCTCTAGAGCAACACAAAATATCTTTAGTGTTCATCCATGTTCATCCAGGTGTCAGAATTTCCTTCCTTTTAGAGGCTAAATGATATTCCACTGTATAGACAGGCCGCATTTTGTTGAGACATTCATCTGTCGCTGGACACTTGGGTGGCGTCCACCTTTTGCCTATTGTGAATGGCACTGCGGTGAACACGGGTGTGTGAATATCTGAGTTTCTGCTTTCAGTTCTAGTTTCTCATCGAAGCGTTATACAAGCTGTGCTGTTGGTTGAGTCGATAATGAAATAGCTGACGTGTCTCTAGCTTTTACCATGCCCTGGCTGAGGGCCTGATATGCAACTTTATAACACCCTATGAGGTGGGACTGACGATTTTCTTTTTGCAAAGTAGGACACTAAGGATAGTAAATTGGCTTTATGAGGGTGGCTCAGCTAGGGAGAGGCAGGACTGTGAGTGGAACTCAGCCTGCTCTCGACCGCCTGGCTTCAGTTCTAGCAAAGTTCATCTCTCCTTGTCACTCTGTTGCCCAGGCTAGAGTGTGGTGGCATCATTATAGCTCACAGCAACCTCAAACTCCTGGGTTCAAGCAATCCTCTTGCCTCAGCCTCCTGAGTATCTGGGACTACAGATGCATACGCCACCACACCAGATAATTTTTCTTATTTTTTGTAGAGATGGGGTCTTGCTATGTTGCCCAGGCTGGTCTCAAACTCCTGGCCTCAAGTGATCCTCTTACCTCAGCCCTCGGAAGTGCTGGGATTATAGGCATGAGCCACTGCACTTGGCCCGGGGTAGACTTTTGAAGAAGGTTTTGAGGGAGCCCAGAGTGGGAGGCGAGAAGCAGATGATAGTAATGGCTATGTGCACTTAACATAGAGCTTCTGATGTACCAGTTGCTTTTTCTGTTTTTACTCCTTTAAGCCTCATAGCAATCCTAGTAGGTGGGTACTAAGATTATCCCCATTTTGCAGAAGGGGAAACCGAGGCACAGAGGGGTTAAGTCACTCAACTAAGGTCACACTGCCTGGAAGTGATGGAACTAGGATTTGAACCCAGGCTCTCTGATCCCCTACTCAGCAGAGAGAAGGGCAGGAGAATGGAAGCCAGGGCAGGTGTTTGTGGGTGTGGGAGGGGGACAGGACGAGACCTGATGGGCTAGGAGAGTCTCGGGCTCAGAAAGTGGGGACCCAGATCACCTGGTTCTCTCTTTTTTCTTGCATGGACAAAGAAATTGACTTCAGAAGAAGATTCAGCCACCCCGGATGCTCGGTCGGGCACCACTGTCATCCCTGGCGACTCTGGAGCCAGGAAGAGGCCCACCTCCACATCATCCTCGCCTGAGCCCCCTGAGTTCAGCACTTTCCGGGCCTGCTAGTGAGGCTGAGAATTGGGGCCCCCCTCCATCTCCCAGCCTTTCAGGGCCTGAGGTCCCTCCAGCTACTGCTGGGGGGCTCGGGCTGCTGCTTTCTCAGGGAATTGAATGAGGTGATGAACTGGACCCCTGGCCTCAAGACTTTCGTCACAGAGGAGTGGGAGAGGGGACATAGGCCGGCCTGGAGGCCGGACAGAAAGCAGGAAGACCCACTTTGGATTTTCAGCTCCTCAGGACCACCAGACAAGGAGATGTCAGGATCCCTTCCAGCCCCCCAGTGGGGCCATAAATAGTCCCCGCTCCCCAGTGGCACAAGATTGGGCACCTGCCCCTTCCCCACTGGGTTTTCTGAGCATAGGGTACCCCAGGGTGTTTTCTGTGTCTGCCCTGCTGACATGCCTAAGTTATTCATTGTAGCACGTGTCGATATATATTCCCAAGGCCTCTATGGAGTGTAACCCTTCAAGCCTGCCACCTCTGGGGTCCAGCTGTTGGATGGCTGGGCGGCGGGGGGACGTGCGTGAATTCACCGCGTTTGAGGTGCACCCCCCAACTGCAGTCGGGGAGGCGTTTGCGGAGGCCCGTGGGGGTGCGGGGAACAGGGAGCGGGGCAGTGCTCCGTGGGGTCTCTGCTAGGGCCCTTGCATTAGGGAGTACAGGAGGTGGAATGATGGTGACGTGGGGGCACAGGGACATTAAAGAGGAGTAAATGACATGCAGGGAAGAGTGAGAGCTGCTGTAGCTGGAAGTGGCCGAGAGCCCCTTTGGGCCCCCCAAAAGGGATGGGGCCCTTGAACAGTGGAGGGGGGACTCGGAGGGAAGATGGTGTGTGTGTGTTGGCAAAAGGGACACGGCTCGTCTGGACTCACTGTCAAGCCATCATTGGGGGAGGGGCGAGAAACTGGGGGATGGGGGCGTTAAGGGATGGGCTGAGGGGAGGGGTTGAGGATTTTTGTGTCCAAGGAAACAGTCAAGGGTAAGGGTGGAGAAGGGGCAGGAGGGACGGAGATGGTGCGGAATAGAAGAGGGGTGGTTGAGTGCTAAGGGAGGGGGATTTTGAACCGGATTCAGGTTGTTCTCAAAGGAGGGGCGGATCTCAAACTGCTTTAATAGCTGGGCGGGGCCACGGGCTGGGGGCGTGTTCTAAGCTCTGGCCACGCCCTTCTCTCAGGCCCTCCCCAGAACTGGGCGCCGCACAAAGCTAGTCCCAGTGGGAGGGAGCAGGGCAGGTATGGGGGCGTGGCCTCGCCCGGCTGGGCCCCGCCCCTCTGCCGGCCGCCTCACAAAGCCGGGCGGGGCCGGGGGCGGAGCCCGTCGTGAGGGGCGTGCCCGAGCCGCCGCAGTGTCCCGCAAGCCCGGAGATCTCTTCACAAAGCGCGGACGTTTGCGCGGGGCGGGGCCCAGGGCGTGTTCGCTCAGTCTAGCCCCGCCCCCGCCCTCTCCCGGCCACCGCGCCGCCTCACAAAGCGCGGCCGTTGCTGCGGCGCGGGGCAGGGGGCGGGGCCCAGGCCTCCCGGGGGCGTGTCCTCGCGGCCGAGCACCGCCCCCGACGCACGCTCCCGCCCCCGCCGTTCCGGGGCGGTGGAGTCACCTCACAAAGCGGCGACCGTTCTCGCGGGGCGGGGCCGGCCCTGCCCCCGGCGCGCTCGCTCCCTCCCCTC